ACACACGTTTGGACATGATACTGTTATCAATGGACTTATGTTGGAATGTCCAGAGTGAAAATTTTATCTGGCTTACTATTGATACCATTTTCTTATGAACGTCTAATGAAGATTAAATGTAAACCAGATTTAGTTTCAAGGAAATGTTTTGAAAAAGATGTGTTGAAGTTATTGTAATTTTATTAATGTTATTTCATCAGTTTATGTTTTGACCAACTTTAATTTTAAATTGATGAATTTATCTCTAATGTGTCTAGTTTCATGTACTATCAATTGATTGTTATCTTATATGGTCAAGTTGTTATTCTTGAGAGTTTATGTACAATGTTAAAGATGTAAACTTTGTTGCAATTTTTGGTAATTCTTAAATTAAATTATGTTTCACCAACCTAGTTATGAAAATAATTATGCCGAGCTCGTCATTGTGTATTGCTAAGACAACAACATTAGCCTGAGTACTATGTGTCTTGTCTATGCCTGGCCTGTACAAGAATTTCATGGAAGTTGTTAAGCAGTTGCAGACAAGAAACTTTTTATTCATGTTGTATAGGAAAGATGGGTTTTGTAATGAAGTAAACTACCTAAACAGTATCAAATTTTTTATAAGTTTTCAATCATACAAAAGACAAACAAAGCGTGAACTTTTTTTTATCAATATCAATGATTGTTTTATAAGAAAAGCAAACATAGGATAAGTTACATAATCGAAACCAACTAATTAGCATATATTACCAAATAGAACATTGAATGAAAACAGTAAGTGCCTTTTGTTTCGTGGGTGTCTTGACAATCAAAACTACCTTAAGCGAAAGAAGAGGACATATTCGGAATTTTAAGCTGAAAGCTAAAGATCTGTCTTGCTATAATATTATATTTTGGGTGTATTTCAAAATTGACAACTGTAACTTTTAATTGAACATGTGTTATGTTAAGTAACTGACATTTGTTCATGTTACAAGTAAACACAACCGTGAATTATTTTTCTCACATTATTTTCTGCTATGTTCTCACTTTATTTTCAGATGTCTGGTGTATTCCAAAAGCTTCAAGTGCGACATGGCGGCCTGCTATAAATTCATTCAGGAACCCAGTGAATTTAAGGATAAGGCAAGTGACTCTTACCCAGAACTCCTTGTTGCAGATTGCATGGATAAGGAAATCAGCAACAAATACTATGTCTTTATGCCTGGATTGTTCAATAATTTGACTGAGAGTGGTGTGAAGGAGTTGAATAAACTAAACTTCAAATTCTTTGTTGTGTGACTGTTCACTGAAAGTGTATCATTTCCTTTCTGTTTCTTAGGTGTTGACCTTGACAAATTTCAAAACAAGAGAAAAGGACTAGTGCTGAATCTTTGCTAACTGTCCGTTCACAGCTGTAACTTGCTAATTATTCTAATTGTTGAAAGAATTTAAAGGAACAAGAAGAGAAGGAAGTCAGTGTTATTTTTATATGTTTGTTTAATAACGACTTAGGAAAAATAATAAATGTAACCTATCATCAGGAAATGATAAATGCTTGAAGTACTAATGCATTTTAACCTAAGGAAAGAGTTGTAAACAACAAGACAATACAGAACCAATAGGTACTAGATTGGATCACATACCAGGACCCACATAATCTGGAAACTTACAGAATATAATGGAAGGTGACTTACATTTGGTACACATGGAGTCAAAAATAAACAATTATTAGTTTCAAGAACAAGTACAAAAATAAGTCAAAAAATACAAACAAAAATAGAAAATTCTTCAGGCGGTTTTAATCTTCCTTCTTCTTTTTTGAAGTTGAAGCTTCTTCAGATTCAAATTCAGCAGAAGACCTTTTTTCTTGCTTCAAGTACTTCTGAAGTTTCTCATGGTCAACACCTAAGAATCAGTAAAGAAATAACATTCAGTGAACAATCACACAATAAAGAATTTGATGAAGTTTAGTTTACTTACTTGTGCCGTATTGATGGAGCACGCAATCATTGCGTGAACCATCCTTCCCATAAAAGACCAAGAATGGGGGCTTCTTGTCGGCGATCTGTTCATTCAATTCCTTCACATCATCCTCAGTCAAATTATTGTATAATCCAGGCATGGACACATAGTACTTGTTGCTTGTTTCCTTGTCCACGCAGTAGGCGACGAGGAGATCTGGGTATGAATCGGTGGCCTTGTCCTTAAATTCACTGGGTTTTTGAATGAATTTATAACAGACATACGGTGCCCCTCTCTTAAGGTCTGAGGGTGACCTTTTACTGGCATGGCCACCATGTCGCTCTTGTAGCTTTTGGAAAACACCAGACATCTGAAAATAAAATGAGAACACAGCAGAAATTAATGTGAGAAAAATAATTCAGGGTTGTGTAACTTGTAACATGAACAAATGTTAGTTACTTAACATAACACATGTTCAATTAAAAGTTACAGTTGTCAATTTTGAAATAGATCCAAAATTAAGTTTACATAATAGCCACCCAAAATGTAATATTAAAGCAAGACAGATCATAGCAACGCCAATTGGCTTAACAAAACTGAAATGCAATCGGCAATCTTTATCAAAAACTGGATAATGAGAACCAGCAGTATTTATCAAAATGGGAAACTTTACCTTCAGGGGTAGAGGCAGGCCACAAGAGACTGTCCAAAAAATTGGGCAAGTCTTATAATTTATTTTACAACATGAAATTTAGTACAGGTCTAGAGAGATAACATGAAAAGTGAAAACCTAGTTCTTTAGGAAATTTAGTACTGGTCTAGAAGAGAGAATCAGGGAAATCTGAACCAAATTAGAAGTGTCACATTCAATGTGATGTGACATTATATGTTGTATCGTTCCAATACGAAATAAAATGAGTAACGTGTTGTAGGTTGACAGAGACTAATTAAGTGACAAAATAAATCAGTGAGCCGAAACTGATGCGACATTTACCTTTGAGCAGGCGAGAAGGACGTGACGAAGAACGTAGCTGACGATAGCAGACGAAAACGAAGTACATGTAACTGACCAAGTCAACTGTGAAGAGCGTGCGGTGCCGGTCCCTTTTGATTAATTTACTGGTTGTGAGACTTATGTTAGTGTTGGTGCGGCCAGGAGTTGCCGATCGTGAAAAGTGAAAAGCTGTCATGCCCATGCGAACATTATTTTGGAAACAAACATTTATTCATTTTATTATTATTATTATTATTATTTACTGTTTGTTTTTTATTTTCCATGCTTGGACAAATATTTAGTCTCAAAGATTGACAGTTATTTTGTTTTTTACTAGTGACATATATTTGAAAAGACATATATTTGGAAAGAAAAAGAAAAGAAGAAGTTGAAAGTTTCCGTTGTCGTGTTCCTGTTCTGTTTCCGTAACCGTAATATTGATTCTCATTCTAGACGGAGGCGTGGTCCTGGGGGTGACGTCTTTTTTATCGCGATGGATCTCAACAGGTATATATTTTAGCCCTCATGGCCAGGGAGGATCGGCGTACGGGGCCGACCCGGTTTTGCTTGCCGGGCTCCGTTCCAGTTTTCAAGGTGGCGCTTGATTATTGGACTCCGTCTAGGATGGCAGAGTTGTAGTTACCGACTCTGACTTGCGTTCATAGTCTCTTTGTATGTTTTGATTTACGGTCGTTATAGATAGGAGTATACAGTAACTTTTAACGTCATGGTGATTTCATTTTCGGCTTGAATTGACGATTGTACGAGTTTTCACTGGAAAAGGATGAAGGAAGAAGTTATTTCAGGAACATGGCGCAGCCGATATCACGCCATGTGTAGCGGCCCTCGCCATGTGCCGTTGAAACAACTTCTTGATTCATTCTTGGGTTATTTGACGTTAGTAAGAATTTGAGCTGTCAGGGAAAGGTGTTAATCGAAACGATGTTTTAAGTAGAACAACAGCACATTTACATCGTTAAAAGAGCGTGTCTTTTGGCAGCTGTAGATGTGCTGGTGTTTTACTAGTGTATTTGGATGTTAGTTGCTTGAACTTGTATATTTATTTCATTAAATGTAGACACCCAAGCAGGCCAATTTCTATTGTGGTTCTAAAGGACTTGCATTTTTAAGTTGTGTGTCATCATTAACATTAAAGGGAAGGAGCTGTATCAGTGGGCTGTTTACATGGCACAGTTTAATGCAATTTTTGAAGCGATGGACTGCTGAATGTTAAGATTTTTGAACTTTGCTGCAAAGAATTCACTGCGAGCTGCCAGTATGATTTGATGGGCAGGTTTGGTTAGGTTTGACCCAATTATCATTTACCTTGAAGCTCCTTCAGGACTGGTAGAGAAACATCGACATCAACTGAGTCACCAACCCATTCAGGCTTATACTTTGCTTTAAAGAATTCACTGCGAGCTGCCAGTATGATTAGATGGGCAGGTATGACCTGGCCCTCCGTGCACAGTTTAACATCAGAGAACATCTCTGATTTTAGGAGGTGGCTTATCAACTTCCAAACTTCGACTAATCTTCCCTGTCATCTGTGCGCTCAAATGTGACATCAAATTTATATTCTCATGAAGATGTTGTCAACCTAAGGAGGGGGGGGGGAGGGTCCTTGCTATGGTTTTGCTTCATGTTAAATTTACTCATGAGTAGCAATTTCATAGGGGACCTTATCCTTTTCTAAGGTTGATACAATCAAGTTTTGGAATTTACTTTGCAATTGAAGTGTATTTTATCATGATGTATTATGTAATGTTGGGTATTCTGACTCTGTAGCAGTGCATGTAAAATTGAATTGTTTTTGTTAACTTTGTTGTGATCCATCGTTGCTGAATAAAAAAAAACAAATGCGTTTATCTGATTTTAATTTAAACCAGGCTTGTTCTTACCTACCTCATTCTACAAATCTTAAAATCAATTGTCTGTTTATATCCCCATGGCGTGAAATATTTCTGTATGAGTGTGTGTAATTAAAGTGTTAGACTTTATACTGTTATATTATTA